CTAGGTTGGCCAGCAACTCGCATGTCCATGGCCCTGCCCATCTCTCTTTTGGGCATCTGGAACAATAAGTTATGGCCACTGGAGGGAACAGTCCCAGAGCTGGGCTGAAGAGGCCATTGAGAGCAGCCACCTGCCGAGCAGGGTGAGGAGTAGTTCACAGACAAGGCGGAAGAGAAGGGCACGAGGGGGCTGAGAAGCCTCCAGGCCATGGCCACTGCAGAGCCACCCCAGCTTCTGTGCCTGCCGTGGCTGGATCACTGGGTTTCCCTGGGTTCCCAGGAGAAGGCTCTGTGTTCTTCTCCTACGTTCGCTGTTTCACTTGGGCTGGTGTCAGTGGATTTCTGCTCTTTGCAATTAAAGGAACCCCAAGGCCAGGTGCAATGGCTTATGCCTATAATCCCAGCACTTTGGGAGGCCTAGACAGGCAGATCACTTGAAGCCAGGGGTTTGAGACCAGCCTGGTCAACATGGCGAAACCCCGTCTCTACTAAAAATACAAAAATTAGCCAGGCGTGGTGGTGGGCACCTGTAATCCCAGCCACTTGGGAGGCTGGGGCTGGCGAATCACTTGAACCAGGGAGGCAGAGATTGTAGTGAGCCGAGATTGTGCCACCGCACTCCAGCCTGGAAGACAGAGCAGGACTCTGTCTCAAAATAAATAAATAAAAATATAAAAAAGCCCCAAGTTGAGAGCTTCCCTCCCTCCTAGGCTTTCTTCCTGTACTCAACATGGTGGAGAGGACCCTACTCTGGGGTCCACTTCAGCTTTGAGATCTTTGAGCTTTCACCCCAACATGGCAAATGTGCAGCACACAGCAGGCACTTGGTAAGTGGCAACAGCACCATGACGGGCAGTTGGTTTTGTAGCTGGTTTTGGTTCTTGGATCATAATGGCACTCTGTAGTGGGTTGGAGTCTGTCATCTGGAATCTCAAATATGACGTTATTTGGAAGTAGGATCTTTGCAGATGTAATTAGCTAAGATGAGGTCATCCTGGGTTAAGGTGAACCCCAAATCCAATGACTGGTGTCCTGATAAGAAGAGAACAGATAAGCAGAGACACACAGGGAGAAGGGCAGTGTGAAGATGGAAGCAGAGACTGCGGGGAGGCAGCTGCAAGCGGAGGGGCACCAAGGATGCCAGCAGCCCCACAGTGGGAAGGGGCCAGGAACTGCCGTCCTGCACATGGAAACGACCCTGTTGTCCCTGTGAGTCTGGACTCTGGCCTCCGGAACTGTGAGGGAATAAATTTCTGTTGTAATCCACCAGTCTGTGGGGCTTTGTTATGGCACCCATAGGAAACTAACTTAGGGCTTCCAATGTGTGTCTGAGTGGACCGATGAAATGCCTCTCCCTCGTGCTTGTTCTGAGAAGAAACTGGCTGCGGCTGTGGCCTGTAGGCTTCTTCTGGCCTCCAGGGAAGACACTGCACAACCTGACAGGAGAGGTAACCTTGGGGATTGGAAGCCATCAAGTGGCTGCTGTGGAACAGCCATGGCAAGAGGAATAACAGCAAAGCTGTTTCTGATGTAGATGGCTTCTGAAAATCCAGACTCCTATGAGATTTTAAAGCACTCCTCTTTGTAAATTAGAAAGCTGCTTTTGAAGTGTGAGCCATCCAGAAAGTGGCGTCTCTGAGAACCAAGAGAGAAAGTGCTAGTGAGAGTCGAGCAGCGGAGGAAGGCTTCTCTTGCCCCAGGTGGCCATGGCTCCAGGACCTTGGCATTGCATCTGTGATAAAAATAAACGGTGTTCTCCGACCCTGGCTCCCATCTAACCAGTTTACAAGTTTCAAATGCAGACTCATTGAACATCAGACAAGGCTCTGATATAGGGACTGTGCATTGGTCAGAGTTCTTCAGAGAAAGAGAACCAATAGGGTGTGTGTGTATAGAGAGAGAGAGAGGAGAAAGAAGAGAGAGAGACAGAGAGACAGAGAGACAGAGAGAGAGAGAGAGAGAGAGAGAGAGATTAGAGAGAGATTTAGTCTAAGGAATTGGCTCATGAGATTGCAGGTCCCGGGAAGTCTGAATCCTGCAGGACAGGCCATCAGGCTGGAGACCCAGGAAAGAAGTGAGGTTGTAACTGGAGTCCGAAGGCTGTGTGGAGGCAGAACTCCTTCCTCCTCAGGGCAATTTCTTCTTTTCTCCTAAGGCCTGCAACTGGCTAAGGCCCACCTACTTTATGGCAGGTTTTCCGCATTCAGGTATACTGATTTAAACCTTAATCACATCTACAAAATACCTTCATAGATAGATCTTGGCTGGTGTTTGATCAGACATCTGGGCACCACAGCTGGGCCAAATTGACCCATAAAATTAATGATCATAGATTGTTACAAGTGTCTGTAGTGATGTAGCAAAATACTCCTTTTCCCAGTATGGCCATTTCCTTGGAATTTTGAGCCCAGATGCCACTGAGCTGCAGATGTGTTCATTGGAAATACCTGAGCAGTTTGTTCACTTAGGTACCAACAAGACTGTCTCTGGGAAGACTTTGTTTTAGAATTTTCAGGGGAATACAGGTAGCACACATGGGTAAAACACTTCTTTCTGGGGCTGGCTTTTTCCTAGGAAGACATAGCTGTGAGGTAATGTTTGGAATGGGCTTTACCCACTTACCAGTGAATTAACTCATGGGAGTTTTAATTAAAAGCTAATATGTGAATGAATGTCTGGAAAGACTTAACAGTAGTTGCTAGTTGGTAAATGATTCTTTTTATTTTGTGTATCTTTTTTTCTTTTGCTTATCTATCTTTTCTGTTTTAACCCAATAAAGTAAAGAGATTTCATATGTAATAAATATTCTCTATAAGAATAACTTTGAAGTTACTAGCATTGTGAAGATGTGAGGATTGCTTGGCTGTCACTAGCATGCTAACGCAGAAAGCTGGGGTCTCAGAAGCCCAGTGAATGATAATACCATTACTGTTACTCCTTTGGGGATGGGTTTTTGACCTCCAGTAAAGTGGGTTCTTTTGGATAGAGCTGTTGGAAAGTGAAAATCCTTGGTACTTACAGAAACAATGGCTTGATATAAAATCGTAGTGAAACTGCAACACTGTAATGCATGGTTGATTTGATCCCTGAGAGCTGGGAGCTACACCTGTCAAATTGTGTTTCACTTCAATAATCTGCAGTGAGGTGAGGTATCCCTTGGTGGTCTGGGTGCTATATTGCAATATGTTGGATACTGGATTATCTGGGAAGTGCAATTTTGCTGCACACTCACAGCTCATTTGTAAGGAGCATCTTTGGGAGATCTGTGCATTCAACTCTTCCTAAAACTTTTTTCTTTTTCTCCTTATGAATAAGACTGTTGGAGGATAAAACTTTGGAGAAATCTTTTAAAGGCTTGTCTCTAATCTCCATCTGGAGTCATAGAGAAACCCCTGACTTCTGTCAATCTTTGGCTGGAAACAAAGAGCCAGCAGCTGTACTGGTTGAGGTACACCATCCTCAATGATCCCTGACCTGTCTGTATGCAGCTTCCACTACAGATGTCTCTGGAATAGCCATCTGCTAGGAAAGGAACTCAGAAGAATTCTTTTCATTTATTTATCATTACTTTTTTTAAAGAGACAAGGTCTTACTCTGTTGCCCAGGCTGGAGTATAGTGATGCAGTCATGGTTCACTGCAGCCTTAACCTCCAGGGCTCAAATGATCCTCCTGCCTCAGCCTCCTAAGCAGGTAGGACTACAGGCATGTACCACCATGCTTGGGTAACTTTTTTGTTTTTGCTTTTGTAGAGATGGGATCTCATTATGTTGCCCAGGAAGTCTCAGACTCCTGGCCTCAAGCAATTCTCCCACCTTGGCCTCTCAAAGGGCTGGGATAATAGGTATGAGCCACCTTGCCCAGCCTGAAGAATTTTTTCAAAGAACAGAATTTATAAGTAATGTTGGGAATTATATGGAAAAACTCCCATGCTTTTATCTGATGCCACAAAGAGTTAGAGAAACAGACGCTAATGTGTGCTCACAGATCTCCTGAAGATGCAGGATTACCTGCTTCCCAGCAAAACACTTTGGGATTTGAACCTCAGTTTTAAGTGAGAGATTGGAGAGCTCCTGGAAGTGTCCTATTCAGAGAGGGCAGGAAACACTTAACTTGATCAACCCTTGAAGACGCAAGGCTTGACTCTTGTCTCCACTGCCTGTTTGATTATGAAGGAAGCCACTCCTCCTAGCACTGCCTCTGACAAAGGTGGTGCAGCCATTGGGTCCTGTTTGGAGTGAACCTCAGGGAAGGTGAGATGTGATTACTGTTAGGATGTTCAAAGGCATCTCTGGAGGGTCTCAGTGGGCTTCACTTAAAACTGGATGGGCCACACAGATATTAGGAAGTAACTCTGAGTCCCTGGCTGTCTGAGGGGAGAGCAACTATGTAATGAAGGGGCAATTGGCCAGCTGACTCCTGTGGCCCCCATACCCCCATCCTTGGCAGACATCCCTCATTGGTTGTGACCCTCTGTCCTCTTCCCCACTGGGTCCAGTGCAGTGAGTGGCAGAGCCAGGCTAGAACCAGGCCTCTTCCCTGCTCATCTGGAGCTCTGCTGGCCGTCCCTCTCCCAGCAGGCCCTCTGCACTAGCATCTGTGACTTCCCTTTAGGACAATGTTGTGTAAACCTTTGAAGGACACACAGAAGACCTTTTTACTGTGATCGTTTACCCTTTTCACTCTTGGCTTTCTTATGCTGCTTTCATGAATGGAATGGAAAAAAGATGACTCAGTCGTATCTATCAAATGCTCACTTGCTGCTATGTGCTGGCTCTGCCCTTGATCACAGTGTAACTTCCCCTGGTCTACAGACCACATGGGTACTTGCAGAATGGGTGCACATGGGGTGGGGGCTGGGATGTCTATTCCTCCCTCATTATTCAGCAGATCATTAGTTCAGTCACTTGTCTGGATGCCTAATTTCCAATCACACCCACAAGAAATATGCATATATCTGCTCATGCCCCAATACAGACCGTCAAGAATACACATATGGCTGATGCCTTCAATGAGTCATCTTTTTTCCATTCATTTATGAAAGCAACAAAAGAAAGCTAAGAGTGAAAAGGGTAAAAGATCACAGTAAAACGGTCTTCTGTGTGTCCTTCAAAGGTTTACACAACATTGTCCTAAAGGGAAGTCACAGCAGCTCAGATGTTTCTCACAGATCAGAAGAGGCTGGTGGGGCAGCCAGGAGTCATCAGTAAATCCAGGTGAGCATGCAGGACTGACTGCTGCTGTCCTCTTGCAGGTGGGAGTCCACGTGGAGGGGTGCTTCTTCTTGTTTCTCACTGGGATGGTGACTGTGTACAGTGGAAAGCACAGAGCCAATGAGGGACAGGAGGGCCGTTGTGGAGGGATGAGAGTGCAGGGCCGCTCTGTCACTCTGTCCTGTCTCCTTTTAGGGCTGGTGCGCCACCACAGGTTTCTGTGAAGTACAAACACACATACACATATAAGCACACACATACACAGATGTGTAACAGACATACATGGGCATGCACAGAGAAACATACAAACACACAGTGTATACATGGATGTGCACATGGGTAGACGCAAACTTAGATTATACTGATGTGCACACATGCACATGAGGCAGAAGAATAGGGTCTGGAGGCAGGAAACCTAAGACCAATTTGTGCTGACTTTGTAGAATTAAGGAAAAATGAAAACCCCATCTCTCCACGCCTGAGGAACAAAAGATTCCGTGGCTACTCTCTTTGCAACCTGCCCCCCAAACTGCATCTCAGATGAAAATGCAAAGTATCTCTGATTGGTCCCTTCCAGCAACCATCAGACTGGTCACTGGCCAAGTCTTCATGCGTAACTTTGTGACTTCCTTTCAGCCTCTGATTGGTTGCCTCCTGCGACCAATCACACTGGTCAGGGCCATTCCTTCATTTGCTTAGGGTGTAACCAAGCAGCCAATGGGAAACCTCTAGAGGCACTTAAACTCCAGAAAATGCTGAAACCACTGGCTCTAGCCTGCTCCCACTCTGGAGTGCACTTTGGTGTCAATAAATCTGTGCTTTCATTGCAGTAACACACACACTTGGGTGTGTATGCAATCACATACGCATGGGTGTGCACACACAGGCATGCACACAGTACACAGAAACACAGGAGTGAACGCAGCCACATGTATACACACATGGACAAGGTGGTCAGACACTGTGTTTGCTTTCTTCACAATATTAGGTTAACTCCTTTGGGGTTTTTTACTTCTCTGCCTCTGTTTCCTCAGCTATAAATTCAGGTCAATGACACAGGTCCTCATCCAATGGGGTGTGTGGACGGCAAGTATTCGAAAACTTAAAGCTTTAAAACAAGAAGACATTATTCTAATTTCAGAGTATTTAGGTTTTCAAGTCTTGTTGGCAAAGATTTGAGTTTACTTTTTGATTCTCAGGTCTGAATCCTTGTTTGGTTTATCCCCGTTTTCTTTGCTCCGAAGACTTAACATTAATACATAAACCTAAGGGGTGACTGAATTTTAAGAACTCCTCAGAGAATGAGGGAAAACTTTACCGCGAAGGTGTGGCTGGCCATCCCTTTCCTCCCGTTGGGGTTCCTCTGTGTCAGGGAGCCTCGGTATACTGATTTCCGATCAAAAGAATCATCACCTTTGCCTTTGGGGAAAACAGGAAGAGGGGTGGTGCTTTATGAATCACATACTTAGCCCGGACAGGTGCCTTGGCCTCCTCAGAAATTTAAAAGGTAGAATAAAAATGGACACATCCCACTTTAAGAAGTTTCCACATTACATATTTTTAAGGAAGCATTTACATTTCAGCTGTCATGCAAATAGTTTATCCAGCTTCTTTCTCCTTTGCTTTGGAGCAGGCATTAATGTTCTGTCTCACTGTGGCCCTAGAAATCCTCACATGAATGAAACAGCAGAAAGGCCCATCACGCTGCACTGGTGTGCGGTCTCTGCATTTCCTTGCCTTGCTTTTCTTTTCCTTCTTTCTTTCTTTTTTTTTTTTTTTTTTTTTTTTTTTTTGAGATGGAGTCTCGCTCTGTTGCTCAGGCTGGAGTGCAGTGGCACGATCTTGGCTCATTGCAATCTTCCTCTCCTGGGTTCAAGTGATTCTCCTGCCACAGCCTCCCGAGTAGCTGGAACTACAGGTGTGCACTACCAGGCCTGGCTAATTTTTGTATTTTTTAGTAGAGATGGGGTTTCACCATGTTGACCAGGCTGGTCTTGAACTCCTGATCTCAAGTGATCCGTCCACCTCCCAAAGTGCTGGGATTACAGGTGTAAGCCACCATGCCCGGCTTCCTTGCCTTTCCTTTAAGTTTGTGACAGGGCAACAGCCCAAGGGGTCTCAGACTCTGACCCTCAGCACAGGGGCCTCTCCTGGGCCTGTGGCTGTGTAGCTGGAGGCTACACAGAGGCCCGAGAACTGGCAGTGTTGGGGGCTGGCCTCTGTAGGCAGGGAAAAGCCCTGTGGCCACCCTTGGTGGAGGCTCGTGATGATGACAGCGGGACTATGAAGGGTCAGGCCTCAGCTGTGCTGTTCAGACTCCGAAATGCCTTTGAGCTTCAGGGGGCGGGGGGGGGGCTATTCTGGCCTTGGACTGAACGTGAGTGATTTCTGGGTAGGACAGAGTCTACCCTTCACAAAACCAGTCATACAGAGGATGCAAGGAATTGCCCCTTGTCCTCCTGCTATAAACATGAATCTCCTGGCTGGGCACGGTGGCTCATGCCTGTAATCCCAGCACTTTGGGAGGTGGGTGGATCAGCTGTCAGGAGTTTGAGACCAGCCTGGCCAACATGGTGAAACTCTGTCTCTACTAAAAATACAAAATTAGCTGGGCATGGTATTGGCACCTCTAATCCCAGCTACTCCAGAGGCTGAGGTGGGAGTATCACTTGAACCCGGGAGATGGAGGTTACAGTGAGCCGAGATTGCACCACCGCACTTCAGCCTGGGCGACAGAGTGAGACCCTGTCTCAAAACCAAACCAATCCAATCCAAACCAAACCAGAAACTCCACTTGGATTTCAGCCTATGAGATGTGCTGGAAACCCCGCACGGCTAGCATGTAGCTCTCCAGGAGCCCCTGCCAGCAGCTCCTCAGCGGGTCATCTCTGGCAGAGTCACCCTCCTTGCTGGTGACCTGAATCTGGGATTAGTCCCAAAGGGCCTTGGGCAGCAGCTCTGTCCCAGGATTGACCTGAATGTGTGCTGGAGGCTCAGGGGGTGCAAAGAGCTAGCTGGCACAGAGGTGGGGTAGCCGACAGACGAAGAAGTGAGTGGGCTGGAAATAGGGACGAGGTGCTTGGTGTTGCAGGGAGGCGTGGAGAGCCCCCGGGCGAGGCTTCGTGCTTGGCCCTGGAGGACTGCACAAGGCAGAGATGGGCATGGAGGGCGAACCTGGGCATGGAGGGCAGACCTGGGCATGGAGTGGTGAACCCGGGCATGGAGGGGCAAACCCGGGCATGGAGGGTGAATCTGGGCATGGAGGGGTGAACCTGGGCATGGAGGGCAAACCCAGGCATGGAGGGGCGAACCCGGGCATGGAGGGTGAACCCGGGCATGGAGGGTGAACCCAGGCATGGAGGCACGTGCTCGTGTGGCGTGCTGTGAAACCAGCATCCATTGTGTTGTCCCAAGCATGGGAAGGAAGTGCATCCTTGGGTGGGTGTAGCAGGGGCAGGCTGGTTCCAGTGTGTAACAAATGGCCAAAGTCTGCAGGCTATGCTAAGAAATCCCACTTCATTCTGCAGGCAGTTGGGAGCCAAGGATTGTTTGTGAGTAGAGGAGGGACACACACTGTTTGCTAGGACCACAGCTGTAGCAGTTTGAATGATGGTGTGTATGAGGACAAAGCTCAGAAAACAGGGACAACAGGAGATCAATCCAACAATTGCCTGGGGGCCTGAAACAGCTCCACGGCAGAGGGCTGGACTCTGAGTGGAGAGAGGAGGTGCCAGCTTCTGGTGAGCAGTGGTTGGGCCACAAGGTGAGTGAATGAAATGAGCAGACAGACACCCACAGAGCCTGGCCACGTGCGGAGGGAGCCTCACATCCCATTTGTCTAGGACAAAGCTAATGTCCTTGTCACTAGCAAGCCTTCGAGGAAGGCTAAATGATGTCCCCTACTTTCTGTAAGAAGGCCAGAAACTGTGTACCACATCCGGACAATTTATGTAGAAAGACATGGAAACACCACCGCCATCACCGCTGCCACCAGGGCCACCTTTGCACGCTTAAAGCAGCAAGTGCCAGTTGTCTGGATCACAACTCACCGGGTCCTAAGGGTGGCCTGAGTGGCACTGGGAATGCTTTTTGGGAGTCAGGACATGAGATACGTCCCACAGGTTATGAAGGACACACACAGAGCTGTGACTGGCCATTTTCCTCCAGGGAGCTCATTTCCCAGGCCCATGGGGCTGTGGAGAGGAGGGGGTTCTTACCTTGACTTTTCAGGGAGTTACTGAACTTTCTTCTTAGAAGATAGGGCACAGCCGTTGCCTAGAAGAAGCAGAGTGTCTCCAGGCTTTACCAAATTGTGATGTTTAGGAATTGTGAACTAATTTTGGATTTCTTACGGTTCTTCCAGCTTCTAAGTAACCAGGCCCACTGTTTTCTGCTATCTAGCAAGATTTGAACTTTTAGCAACATTAGAATGCACATTTTCAATAAACTAAGTACTAAATACCTGAAGCAAGAGATGCTCAGGAGCTGCCACATTTGGATGGCATGACAGAAAGAGTACAAGTTTCTGCCCTGCAGATCTGGGTTCAAATCCCAGCACTACCCCCTTACCACTGTGTGACACAATTAATTCACTTATCCTCTCCAAACCTCAGTCTCCTCCTCTGTAAAATGGGTCTGTAGCTCCTGTCTTTTTTCCAGTTGATTACCTTGCTACAGTGTGATAAGAAATCTGGTCTCTGTTTGGCTTTTCAGGGAAGTAAAGAGAGAGCCAAGTGGCCCAATTCCCCTAGAAATTTCTCCTGGTGTCTGGCAGCCTGGGATTTTGCCTGCCTGGGTTTGTAGGCTGCTCCTAGAGGCAGCTGCAGAAGCTGTCAGGCTGAGCTTCAAGGGACAAAAGTGGAAGCAGCAGCACCCAGGGAAGAGCGTGGGTGTCAGGCATGGCCTGAGCAAGACCCTGCGGTCACTTCCTGTCTGTGATCTTGATCAAGCTCACCCACTACCCTGAGCCGGCTGGTTTGCTCATCAGTACAGGGTTAATCGCACTGCCTACCTGCTAGGTGCTGTAAACATCACGGAGAAAGATAGACTTTTAAAAACACTGCGTGTCACTGTGAGGAGCTGCCAGGGTTGTGACGAGGAGTGGCCAGATGTCCCTCAAGCCTCCCTATGGGGCTGGGCTGCAGGTAGGGCTTGAAGCTGAAGCCCACTCCTCCTGGGGTGCTGGCCACAGTATCCCTCATCTTACTCCTAACCACCCCACCTAAATGCAGGGAGCTTCTCCCTCCCAGGCTGGCTCTGCCCTCTGTGCATTGTGTCTACTGGTCCTGCCCACATCCCACAACTCCCTGTGCCATTTTCGTGCACACTGGCTCCTGGGTATTTTCACCTGTGGCAGCCAGCGCCTAAGTCTCCCAGATGGAGGAAGTCCCCAGGCCACGGGCCCGCTGTGTCTGTTCAGGGAAGGGCAGAAGTGCCTGGGAATGTATGTGGCCTAGGGCCTGGCCCTTACTCAGGACTGACGGGTGTGGAAGGGCTAAGTGCCGGTGACCTCACTCCTGAGTGGAGTAACTCTGGGTGTAACCTACGTGTTCTCCAGAGCCCCCAGGAGGACTGAGCCACAGTCAGCCTGTGTGGGTTTGCTTCACGTCACCTGCTGGCCTCCTTCCTTTCCCATCTCACTTTCCCAGCCCTGCTACTGGGCTTTCTTGGATTTTCAACAAATGTATCAACACAAATCCAGCTCAGTGTGTGCCCCGGAGGAAGCCAACCCACAGGAGTTGCCACGGCCTTGTGGCCATTGTGAGGTCATGGCAGCTGTGTGGGCAGCTGTGTGGACATTGCAGCTCCGCCACCCCGTGGACTTGCCACACTGCTGGAAAGGGGTGTGGTCTTCCACCTTCATCCGGTGTCTGGGGCTTGGATGGAGTAACACATACCTTGGCCTCATTCGAAGGGTCTCCATTTGGATCCTCTGGTCTCTTGCCAACTTTCCCAGCCACTCGAGGGAGAAATATCTGGAGGACACAGAAGAGGCTTTACGTTGTTGTTTAGCCTCCAGCCACAGGGTGGAGCGCTGTCACGGGTCAGCTGGATGTAAGCATGGATGGTCTCTATACACACGCAGTTGGGGACACTTGGGGTGCAGCAACGCCCCCAGTATGACACTCCAGGGCTCTGGGGCTAGGGCTGCCAGAGTGTGCAAACTAAAATACAGGATGCCCAGAGAACTTTGAATTTCAGATTGTGAAAAGAAAGTAAACCTTGGGACCCAAAAATCACTAAGCTAAAGGTGAAAGTCGAGCTGGTAACTGTTTGGGGCAAACCTGCCCCTCATTCTATTCAAAGCCATCACTCTGAGGCTCAGCTGCGTATCCGATTGCTTCCTCTGCCTATTCTTATGTAAAAATGTAGTTTCACTGAGCCAGACTAAATTGTGTATTCAGTGGAAGTCTGATCAAGAACTCAAAGAGTACAGCCTTTGTCTCTTACCTACTTCTAGCCAGGAAGCCCCCACTTAGAGTCGTCCTGCCTTACTGGACCGAACCAGTGTAGGTCTTACACACGTCAATTGACGTCTCACGTCCCCCAACAGGTATAAAAGCAAACTGTACCCCCAACCACCTCGGGCACAAGTCTCAGGACTTCCTGAGGCTGTTTCATGCTTGTGTCCTTAACCTTGGCAAAATAAACTTTCTGAACTGCCTGAGACCTGTCTCAGATATTTGCATTCACAAGAGCAACAGCTAATTTTTTGTTTTAGTGTAAGTCCCGGATGTTGCATGGAATATACTTATACTGGAGTATTAGTCGTTGATCTGAAATTTAAGGTTAACTGGGCAGCCGGTGTTTTCCCCAGTGATCCTATCTGGGACTGTTCTAAGGACATCTTTCATTCTTTTGCCAACTTTAGGCTTTCAACACGAGGCATTGTGACCAGGCATCTCCTTTTGGATTTTACACTGTGAATGTGTGTGTGTTTCAGATCCTCAGAGCAGAGGCTGAGTCCCCTCACATGATAGAAACAACAACAAATAATAAACAAAAAATGAACCCCAACAAGGGCACAGCTGACTAACTGGCTCTGAGGAAACTCAGGCTGGGCATTCACTGGAAGGGAGGTGAGGGGCCCAGGATCCTCGCTGTCAGGCCCACGGTGGCACGGGTGCTGTAGGGAGGCCTTGGGGAGCACCAACTCACCTGGCATGCTGTGTCCCCCCACTCACCACTGCGCCCCCACTCGCCACTGCGCCCCCACTCACCCTTGCACCCCCCACTCACCCCTGCACCCCCCACTCACCCCTACATCCCCACTCACCACTGCACCTCCCACTCATCACCGCGTCCCCAACTCACCACCGCACCCCCAATCACCACTGCACCCCCACTCACCATTGTGCCCCCACTCACCGGGAGGTTTGACCTCCTCCGGGGTTTTCCCGAGGGCTTCACTGTGAGCCCGGCGGCCCTCAGGGCTGCAATCCTGGATTCAATGTCTGAAACCTGAGAGGACAGTAGACAGACAGCCCGTCAGACAGACGCTCGAGGTCCCACCTCAAAGTCATGGACAGAAAGAGCAGCTGCCCCAGCTCTCTCCTGGAGCCAATTTCACTTGTGTTTTCCCTTAAGACTGGCGTCCCAGCCCCATGCCCATCTTGGTGGCCCCCATGGCATTCATCTTCAATGGTTATTATGGCGGGGGAGCTTTCCTTGTGGGCCACCCCAGGCAGGGGGGGTGCATTTTCTGGAGTCTTAGGGAGTCTGGCTCCCATGAAGAGCTGGAGGAGGGGCCATGACTGGGGAGGACGGTGGTGGCTACTCTTCACCTAGCACTCGGCCACCCCCACTGGCATCATCCTTGCCCAGCTCCCCTTCCGCTCCTCCCCCATGAGGCCACTCCTCCCACAGCAGCCGGGGCAGCTTCTGGAAACAGAAACCAGGCCCCATCACCCCTACTCAGACCCTTCCAGCCCACCTTCCTCACACTCTCCCCTCATCATCTGACCCGGTCTCAGACTGATCCCTGCACGTGCCAAGCTCACTGCCACCCCAGGGACCTGGCACACGCTGCTCCCTCCACCCAGGCTCCTGCCTCCTGGATTTGCCAGGCTGGCTCATTTCCCTGGCATCCCTCCTGACTGCCTTATCTTAATCGCCCTGCCCCGAGCACCCCAGGGGGCACCTTTACTGATGGTCTTCATGCACTTTACGTGAACCCAAAGGATCTGGTTTGTTTGCTATTTATCTCCTCCTACTAAAAACAGGAGCTCCAGGAAGGCAGGGGCTTGGTCTAAGGCATTTGCAGCTGTATCTTCCGTGACCTACACAATGTGGCTGCATTCTAGGCATTTGAAGCTTATTTGCAGAGCAAGAAGGAAGAAACGAAGGGAAAGTCCGGAGCCTGACCTGCCCCCTCGATGGGAACAGCCCTGGGGGATGTGCCCTTCGTCCTCGGGGAGTGACAGGTGCCTGCTCATGAGAAGGGAAGCGGAGGAGGGCCACAGGGGCTGGCTGTCCCCACAGTCTGAGGGGCAGACCCTCTCCTTTCTGTAGGTCTCCGGGGAGGACAGAGCATGCACACGTCGCCTCTGCTGTCCCTGGGAGGCCTGAATGCGTTGGCTTTGCCCTTTGACCTTTGTGCACTACTGATATGTTCATCACCCAGATTCAAGCTCTGCAGCCACACCGGGACTCACAGGTGGCCCTTGGGACAGAGTCCAGTCCTGAGTCTGGGGCTGTCCTAAATTCCAGGCCTGCTTACAGGTCAGGGATTGTGAGTGTTCAGTACTTTTTTCTTGGTAGAAACCCTGCCTGTCCCTCACCAAGTTGGAAAAAGGGAAGGGGTGGAGGGCTCAGGGGGTGGCGAGCCAGGTGAGTCCCACAGGAACCCCAGGTTCGTGCTTGGCCTTCAGACACAGGCATCCCGGGCCAATGGGGAGGGCTTGGTGTGAGCTGTTAGTCAGATGGTCAACGCCCAGCCACAGTCACCATCCGTGTTTGTGGAACCCCGTGCTTGCTCCCCTGTGCCTTCGGGGTACCTCGCTCTCTGCCTGCCGGACTTCTGAGGCTGTCACTGCCACTCTGTCCTCCAGCTCCGACAGCTCCTCATCTGTGGTCCTGCTGTGCTGGATGGGGTCCTCGGGGCCCTGACGGCCCTTTTCCTGTCTGTTGGTTTGATTGGCAGCCGTGCCCACCTAGGAAAGAGAAGGATGGAGGCTGACCAGCTGTAGGAGGGGGTGTGGGGTCTCACCCAGATGGGGACTCGCCCTGATGTTGCTCTCCTCTCTGAACCCTGGGAGCTGCTTGGCCAGGAGCTGGCCACCCACCATGGACCCCATCAAGGGCTCTTGATGTCCCCACACAGTGGCTGCCTCCCTGGGGAGGGTGGTGGCTACCCGGGACTGTCCCTTCCTGCCCCTCCCTCTGCAGGGTCCTGCTGAGACCCCTGGGGGTAGTCTCACCTCTGAGTCTGCGTGGCGGAGGGTCCCAACTGAGGTGCCCCTGTCAGGCTCTGCCTTTTCATCCTTGATCTCCTCTTCCTCGGACGAGGCCCCCTCGTCACTGACGTTGCTGGTCAGCTCCTCGAGCTTCCTCCTCAGGGTCTCCTCCTCCACGTCGGCCTCCGTGGGCACTCCAGCACCTACACCCTGACAGAACAAGCCAGTGGGTTTGCATTCGGCTAGCCATCTGGAGCCGTGGAGCTCAAGGGCTGGCTCTGGGAGGTGGGCCTGGGCCCAGCACCCCTGGGGTTCCCGCTGAGCTTGGGCTGCCTCCCTTCTCCTTGTGAGCTTGTCCACTGTGCCCCACTGGGGCCCAGTCCCAGACTCCAGAAGCAGGCTCTCTCTGCAGGGCCGGGGCTTCCCAGGGAAAGATGCCCACCACCCCTAGCTAAGACCCATCTTTTATTTTTTCCTCTCATCCCTTACATCTAAGGGTGCCACTTGTGTATTCCAGGTGGATGTCCTTACTCTATGGATGGGGAGAGGGGCGTGGAGTCGTGGCTCTCTGCCCACTCTCTCTCTCAGGGAAATGCATAGCTGGCCTTGGATGGTCCAGCACCAGGGGCTGTACCTTCCCACACTCTGACCAAGGACTGACTTAGCAGCTGCTGCTGGACAGCTCTCTGTGGCACATGGCTCCTGATCACATAAAAGCAGCGCTGGGCTGAGTGAGAAAGGGTCTCCTTCCACTGGCCGCCTTGTCTGTGGGCGGGAGGAAGGGAGGCTAAGGGCAGGCTTTGTCTGTTGTGGACACCGGCCTTTCAGGAAGGTTTTATGTGCCAGCTCTGAGAAGGTAACAGACTTAAGTGATAAAAACACAAAACCATCCCAATTGCCTCTTACAGCCATAGCGGTGCTAAGGTGTCTTGCTCTTTTTGGCGGAGGCAGCTCCACTCTTTAGAGCTGGCTTAGGCCAAGAGGCTTGCAGACATCCTGACTCTTTCTCTCATCCCAAGTAGCCATTCCTGTCGGCTCTGCCTTTGCGAGATCCCAGGATATGTCTGTCTCATTTCACTTGGTTGCTCTACCACCTTCTCCAAGCCAGCCCTGCTGCCTCACTCCCACTCCACAGCCTGTCCTCGGGAGGACAGCCGGAGCGACCCCGTGCCCTCAGCCAGCTGTCTTCTGCTTAAGCCTCCCCAACTCTCCCATAGTAAAGGCAGAGCCTGGGAGGCTCTGTCTTGTCTGACTCCGGCACTAGGCCCAGCTCCAGCCTCTCTGCTCCCAGGCCTGCCTCTGTCTCACCCGTCCTGGCCACACTGTCTCCTGCAGGTGTTTGCTCCTTGGGACCATAGGAGGGGCTGCCATACTCCATCCTAGACAGCCACATGGCAGTTCTGGCACCTCTGCCAGCTCTTTGGGCAAGTCTCACGCTCAGTGGGGGGCATCTCGTTTGAAAAGGCATCCTCACCCCAGGGACCTTCTGCCTTGATTTATTTTTCTCTGCCTTCCGCCACCTCCTGATCTGTGTTCCACTTGTTGGGTTGTGAAGGAAACCAAAATATGTCACCCCAGAATAGACCTCTGGGACATATTTCCAGCTGTTTATTCAGAGAAGCTGCAGACAGGATTGCTCCGAAAAGCTGTCTTTTTTGGTGGTGGGGATTTCATCTGTGGAGGAAAGCTACAGGGGTGAGCTGAACACCAGGCAGATGGGCTTTTCTGAGATGGGCTTTCTCGGTGCCTTAAAAGGACACTGATGCCTGACACTTATGTGTGTGACAGGGACACTCCTGTCACACCTTTTGTGCCACCTTTTGTCCCTTCCTCTGGGAGATGCCACCTCCACTGACACTGGGGGCTGGGAGGGAGGGAGGGAGGGAGGGAGGGCAGGTGCCTCCACCAGGAAGTTACTCACAGGCCACGGCACCCCTGGGCGGATTCTTCAAGGGCAGCTCCAGGTTACTTGAGATATATTTAACTGCATAACCAGAAGCCCTTCCTCTCCTCACCCTCCGGTGACCCTGTCCCCACTGCAACCCCTCAAGAAGCCCTAAGCCCTGACCATCCTGTCACCTTGGGTGTAAACCTCAGTCGTCTGTCCCTGCTTGGAGCCCCACATTTGCAGGACTGACATGTTCATGTGCACAGTAACACATGGTTGGTCTTTTCCCTGTGACCCTGTCTGTGATGAGTTCCCTTCAGCAGACGTAGGCCCCCTTTCTGAGGGAAAGCTGGACATTCCTGCGGTTGCGTGTTTCCCGCCTCCCGAGTGGAAGGCAAACCCCATGAGGCCTGCGTTTCTGTCAACTTTGCTCATGGCCACCTCCCCAGCAACAGGAGCCGGTGCCGGGGGCAGAGTGGCTCCCTGTGTGTCCCGACTCTTCCCAGGTGATGAAGTCACACAAGTTAGCATCATGGGCAGGAAGACAGCGCTCATTCCCTTGTCTGCTCGTTTACCTGTTCATTCACTCATCCATCCCACAATCCAAAGGCTTTCCCCTGGCCCCATGAAGTCAACTTTGACGTGTGAGGCCAGGGCCTCGAGGAGATGCCACCTGAGGAGTTTTAGTGCCACCTTTTGTCCTTTCCTCTGGGAGATGTCACCTCAACTGACACTGGGGGCTGGGAGGGAGGGAGGGAGGGAAGGTGCCTCCACCAGGAAGTTACTCACAGGCCACGGCGCCCCTGGGCGGCATCGATCCCTCCCTCACCCGCCAAGCTGAGGATATTGCACACGATCATTTAATTTTCTATTTGGATGAAACCTATTGAGACAGATCGACAGGTCTTGCTGCCTGGGGCCTCACAGACAAACACCAAGGGGATGATTAGATTGTGTTGATGAAGAAGCTGCATGTTTTAGCCGGGATGCTTCTCCACGAGGCTCCACTTTCCTGACAAAGCCCCGAGTCACAGAGGCCCTCAGTGGAAAGATCGGCAGTGACGTTCAGCCTGTAAATGCTACTGGGCCTGATATGAGCTGAACTTTGTCCCAGAGTGCATGGGGCTGAGAAACTGCAGAATCCCCACGAGGAATGGAAGCCCAGTGCCCGTCAGGCAGGACGCAGCAGAGTGACGGGGTGAGGGGGTGGGAGCTGGGGGATGCCTGGGAGAGGCAGGGATTGTCTTTGCTTTGTAAGCCTGTAAATAAATGAACACACACACCACATGCACACATATACACATGTACATATGGAAAACACATGACAACATGTATGTGTGACAGGGACTTGAACCAGCACGACAGGACACAGCCAGGGTGACTAACTTGCCCTTGTTTGCCAGGGATTTCCAGGTGCAAGCCTTACGAGCCCCAACTAGGACACTGGCTGCCCTAGATCGAGCGTTGGCAAGGTGGAGGGCCCGCTGCCTCTCAGGCCCAGCTCCTCAACAGCCCAGAGGGCCATGCCTGCAAGCAGCGTCCCCTCATGGGGAGTGTGTGGGCAGCACAGGTCCCATGTGGAGTCTGTGACTTCTGACTTACTTGTCCCTGGGCTGAGATTTGTATGAGCAAAAGGCCAAAGCCAGGAGGCACCAGCAAGAGCCAGAGCGAGGGTGGCCACCTTTCCCTCTGCAAGGGTAACCTGTTTCTGGGTGGGCTGCTGCCAGGGCCAGGCAGGCTGCAGGGCAGTGGGTCCCAGGTGCTGCTGAGGGACCAGCAGGGATGGGAAGGAGTTGGGCAGGAAGTGGGTAAAGGAGGTGAGTGACGGATCTCCAGTGTCCACCTGAGAGGCAGAGCCGGGGCCAGAGTGGGACCTGGGGCACTCGGTGTTCAGCAGGGTCCTGGGGGCGGCCTGGGGTCTGGATGGATGGATATGGGCCATGGGGTCTGATGGGGCTCTGGAGCTTGTGTTGGGGTCACTCTGACTCCAGTGCAGGCGAGGGTCCTTCCAGAGGCATCCCAAGGGGAGGAACGCTCTTCCCAACCTCGCTGTGCTTTCAGCCAGCCAGTGATGGGCTGAGTCTCACTCATGGGAGCCCAGGCTTCAGTTTCCTTATCTATAAACTAGTGACAGACATGTCTACTTTGCAGAGGTATTGCAGGATTAAACGAAATTATGGCACATGGTCAGCCTGGCCCTAGCGACCCGTTAAAGCATACAGCACAGTACTCCATCCCCCTATAGAGGCAGCTGCGGTCCCTGCTGGACACATGGCATGTGGGCTGGGCCTCAGTCTCCCTCCACTTTGGCCAGGGTCAGGGTCTGCGCAGGGGTACCCTCTGTGGTCTAACTTGGGACCTGTGTGCTCTGCTCCCCACTTGGTCTCATTCCCCCAGCCTGAGCTCCACCCAGATCTGCTTCTCTGCAGTCTTGGCCCCAAGAAAAATGAGCAGCGGCAAGGAGCGTCCTGTGGAATTAAGTCATTCACGCTTAAAGCTGCTGGAACTTTAAATCACCGGGAGCCTTGAGGGCAGCTATGTGGCCTGAATCAGCAGCATGCACCTTCCGTTTCTGCTTTTTCCTGTAGACGATTAGGAAAGACTGAGAGACACCAGAGATGAGACCCCCTCAAGATCATTACCCCTACTTGTGGAGTGTTCAAGCCATCTTCCTCAAAATTAGTAAACTGTAACCTGTGAACCGCTACAATATAATTACGGGCATTGTATGGAAAATGCTGTAGCACTGAGAAACTTCTGTTTCGGCCTATACAAGTGAAACTTCAAATTCTCTGCTTTTGAGCACTAACCCCATTCCTTTGGAGTCTGTGTGGCCCGGAAGGCTACCTTCAAACTTTGTGCTCCAATAAACTCAATACTTAATCGCATTTTCTGAATCTCCTTATCTCAGTGCCCAGGTGCTAGATGTGTAACTCAGCTGGAATGGAGGACTGGGTCCCCCCGTCCCTCTGCACTCCCAGCTGTCTATCTGCCTGTCTCTCAGACACAAAAGCACATACACACACATGCACGTGCACTCTTGCAGCGGGCCATGGTTTGTTTTATTTACTCCCCATCAGGTTGCCTTGGTGTGCTGTTGTGGTATCAATGTGTCCCCTAAAGTTCATGTGTTGGGGATTCAATCCTCAGTGCAATAGTGTTGCGAGGTGGGGCCTTCAAGAGGTGATTAGGTCATGAGGGCTGTGCCTTCATCAATGGATTAATATCATTATTGAAGGAATGAATTTGTTATTCATTCCAGGGTGGTTATAAAAGAGAGTTCGGTCCTGCCTTGCTTTCTGTCTCTCCTGTGCTCTATCACCATGTGCCATGTGGTGACACAGCAAGAAGGCCCTCACCAGATGCCACCCCTTGATCTTGGACTTCCCAGTCTCCAGAGCCATGAGCCAAATACATTTCTGCTCATTATAAATTACCCAGCCTGTGGTATTTTGTTACAGCTGCACATAGCAGACTAAGATGTGCTGATCATACATTCACAAACATGGTGCAGAGGGAGACTCCCTCCTGCTTTGGTTGCTGGACCTCAGAGCTGCTGGGCCAAGCAAGCTTCCTCCCATCTCCAGTTATGTCCCCTGGGCAGGCTGTTACACCTGTGCACCCTCCAAGCTGTCTCTCATTCAAGCTCTGGGTATGAGGGGTGATGGCAGGCCTGGATGGGACAGATAACTTCACTCAGGATATGTGATAGGAATCATCTGGCCCTCTGAGCACTGCACACAGAACTCAAGCTTACAAACAGCAAAATCTCAAGAAACTATTCTCCCAAAAGCCCATGTCACACCTCAGCCTCCTTTAACTAAAGAGCTGTGGGGGCTCTTTCTCCTTGCCCAGCCCCTGGTGTTACCTTGGCCAAGGGAGGCACAACTGTGTTCTCCAGGTGGGTCAGCAGGCGTTCCACAGCTGAAATACGCTTATTCAGCTCAAAGATCTGCAGCAGAGGGAGAGAAACAGTGGGCAGAAGACCCCTGGCTCCCACCAGCAAGACTCTGGCACCCACCACCTCAGAAGCACCAAATTCCCAAGAAGTGGAAGGAGAGCTAAGGCCACCAGCCATGATGTGGCCTGGGAAGGTTAACCGTGAAACCTATTTCTGACACCAAGAGTTCTGGAACACCAAGCAAAATCTTGGAGCGAAACCAAGAGAAGGGAGAGTGGGGAGGGTGAAAGCAGCAGGAGAGGAGCTGAGTTCAGCAGGACAAGGAGCTGAATCTGGACGGTTGTGATGGTGTCATCACTGTGGACAGCCACTGTCACCACCGATACTGAGCAGCACAGGAAGACATCAGTTAATTACGCCGCAGTGATCAAACTTACAGCCATCAGCTAGCAAGAGCCTTGGGTTGCTCGTGGGCTGGGAGGCAAGGCCCTTCAGGCGACAACCTAAATGGACCAGAAGTATGACTTGCTCATCCCTTGAGTCACCAGACTCTTGAGTCACCCAAAGTCTATTAGCTCCCAGACGGAGACATGAGAAATCAATTTTCTAGTTTTCTTCCTTGCCCAGCGATGCATCTTTCCTGCCATTATCTCGTTGACGGCTCACCTAGCTTTAAAAGAGGGAAGTGGTGCTTGTGGGATGTTAAGATGTTTTGCGCTGTTTGGTCTGTAATTACTTTAATCTTCACAGCACCAAGGGCTTTGAGTGGGCAAATCTGCCCGAAGAGCATGCTTGGCTGAGAAATGTCAACACTAGGGTTTTGATTAGACCTTGGCCCATGCCTTGAGGAGCCACTGGTAATAGTCATGAGATTCAGAAAATATGAGTAAGTATTAATACACCAAGTTTATCAGAACAAAGGCTTGATGGTGGCCACCCGGAAACACGGACCCCAAATAAATGGGGTCCAAAGTGGACTAGTGGTTTCACCTACGTAGAAATTTTAGCAGGATCACAACCTTGCAGAGGAACAGTGACCTGGGGGGCCTCTGGTCCCGTTGTGCATCTGCAGAAGCAGAGATCAATACTCTGGGGAGAGAGCACTCGGCAGACAGCCTCTGCCTCCCAGAAGCGGTAGGCTTGGCACACATGGGGACTCAGGAGAGGACAACGGCCCCCCAGCCAGCACCCAACACCATCGCTGGGAAATGTCACATTCAGAGTGAAAGAGATGGGGAAATGCCCACGAGGAGAAAGTGGAAGCAGGGTGGAGGAGGCCAGGGTTGGGGGAGGTGGGCAGGAGCTAAAGGTGGGTGGGGGCAGCTGGGAGCCAGGGAGAGGCCAGCAGGGAAGAGTGGGAAGTGAGCTCAGCACGCTGCTTTCTGACAAGGCTCTGGCAGTGTCCAGGCTCCTTTGCTGAGGAGGTGGCAGCACAGACACAATGAGTATGATGGCACCCTGGCTCCAGGAGTGCTGGGCCCCTTTCAGACAAGCCTACAGGGCAGATGCAGCAGCTCCTCTGCCACTCCTGAGTGCCCAAGTGGTGTGGGGGTGAATGCAAACCTGCTGGTGAAATTGGGCACTCATTGCACCTGTTGAAAATAGAGAAGTGACTTCTCCCCACTGCCCCCTTTCTTTCAGAGCTCCTTTCTCTGCTTTTTCCAAATACGTGTAAATCTTTATAATGGCGAAAAAGCCTCTGTCCAGTCTCAAAACTTGACCTGGGAACTGTGTTTTTGAAATGGAAACATCCCTGGAGATAACCCTTGCTCCCAGATCCCAAGAGGGGTTTAAGAGGCTAACTTCTACCTTTTTTATCCTCCTTTAAATAATTAAGACCAAACAGCATTAGAGATAAGGGCCCCCCAGGTCTCTGTTCCTCCGCAAGGCTGTGATCCTGCTAAAATTTCTACGTAGGTGAGACCTTCACTAGTCCACTTTGGACCCCTCTTGTTTGGAGCCTGTGTTTCCGGGTGGCCATGTCAAGCCTTCGTTCTGATAAACTTGACATATTAATACTGACTCATATTTTCTGAATCTCATTATTTAGGTTTGACAAAGTAAATACAAGTTAATAGGAACACATAGAAACAATTCCAGAGGCAGGATATACAAACATGAACTTGAGAATCATTCCAAGCAGGTATAAAGGATAATTGGTTTCAGCAGGGTTGGATACCACTATGTGTATTTTACTAAAGGCTAATAAGTTGCTAAATTAAAGGTTTACTGAAAATAGACAACTTGATTCTCATCTTCATCCCACTGTCTTCAGACTAGGAAGCTGGAAGATGCTCAGCCAGCCATGGATCTGTCTACCTGGCCACCCCGGGAGGTCTCTACCTGGCCACATAGAGGAAGTCTCTACTCTGGCCACACTGGGGGTCTTTATCCTGGGCACACCGGAGAGGTCTCTATCGTGGGCATACTGGGGAGGTCGCCATCCTGTCCTCACCAGAGAGGTCTCTATTCTGGCCACCCTGGTCCTCCACTGTCCCCTGCAGCCACAGGTCCCTGTATGAACTTGGCTGAGTCGCCTCTTCCCCTTTTCTTAGAATAACTGTAGAATGTGCCAAGAAAGCCACCTCCTGATATCAGGAAGAACTGTGTGGACTGTGCAGAGCCCAGGCTCTGGAACTGGATTCCTTTGGCCCACTGATCCCAGTTTCCCAGGTCTCTGTCCTGGCCACCCTGAGTCGGCTTTCTGGGATCCCCCAGCTGCCGCATGATGTGGGGCACTTGCCTCCGAGACTCTACCCTTCCCGCAGCTTCCCTGAGCCCGGGGGCCCTGCTGCCTGTCTGTGAGTCATGAAGTTGCTCTGCGCGACGTGTGCGTGTTCCATTTCACAGAAGTAGACCTGCGAATGCAAGTGTGGAGTCGTGACCGCTGCGGCACTGGGGCTCCCCTGAGTCCCGCCGGAGCTCAGCACACCTGCAGTTTCCAAGTCCTCCCAGGATACAGACACGGCAGGGGCCAAGCCAGCCACTCCCTGATTTGAATCAAAGGACACTTCCTTGCATCAGGGCCTTGCTCGCTGTTACATAAAAGGAGTCGTATGCCTCAGGAACTGTGGGCCTCAGGAGGTGAAGCAACCATAAGCAGTCTTCACGCAGGCCTTCTCAGGGCCTTCATGCCCAGCTCTGATGGGGCAAGGGTGCTTCTTTCAGAGACTGAGTGGGCCCTCAAGGAAGTTGCTGCAGGAGAAACTTTCAGACCAGGGCTGAGGAAGCTTCTAAATGACAGTACAGTAAAAAGCCAGCCGAGGGCACTGACTCCAGAGAGATGCCAAGTTCAGAAACTGCACGCTTCTGTCCCGTGGACACTAGCCCAATTGTAGGACCCAAACCCCTGTGATTTCCCATAGGGCCATGCTAGAAAGGCTCTTTGTGAAATTTTGGTGCTCATTTTCAGCAGATCATTTCTCTGGGTGCAGAAGCGAAGTGACAGGAGGTTGGAAGAGCCCCTTGCCAACCATGAGTGTGAAGGTCTGGCCCTGTGAGAACAGCCACAGGACAGACTTCCTGCTGGATGGGGGCTCAGAAAAGCCTGGGGCCACTGGGTCCTTTTCCCCGTTGCCCACTCCTGAGCCAGTGCTGGCCTAGTGGCTGCCTTGGGATGGGGGTCTGCAGCCCTAGTGGCTGTAGAGCTGGCCGATGCTTCATCTCGGGTAGTCCTGTGCACCGAAGGACCAGGGCGCTGGAGAAACCCTAGACCCTGTACAACAGCCTCCTCGTGCCCCGCCCAGCTCTCCTGCCCCTTGAGAACCCCAGCCGTGCACCCTCTGCCTCCTTGCCACTTCCAGGCCTTTCCTGACAAGCCTCAGCATTCACTTAGCCTCCCTCCTGACAGCCCAGAGCCCATGGGCCCCGAAGGGAAGCTCCACAGAAGCATTCCCTTTCCCAGATCTCCCAGGAGGAGGGAGGAGGGACTCTGTGCCAGGTACCACCGTGCCCACGGAGCTAGACCTGCACTCATCCAGGCTCCAGAAGATGTGCCTGAGACCAGCCCTGGTGATGCTGCGGTTCCTGTCTCCATTCAGAGCGGCGCCACTCCCCCTCTTCTGGGTTTCGTGCCTCTAGGGTCATTAGTTACAGAACAGCCCCCCATCACATGATTACAATGCCGGAGTCAAGGCTCTATCAGAGACATGAATAGCCTGTGTCTTTCTTTGCCTTAAACAATTTAGTGGTCATGATGTTCTCAGATGAAACAATATTGCCTTTCTCCCAGTAATGTGAACTTGCTCAAATAGAAATCAGCTGACTCAACAGAATCATTTAGATGCAGTGAGGGGAATTCAGGGTACTTAAATAAATCTTGTGATGAACTTTTTAATAAGTCAATGTCTGCAGTGTGAGTGATTCTACTAATTTAACAGGTGTTAAGTATTATGAGCAGTTTCTTAATGCCTATATAATGCCTGCTAAAGGGCTGGGTGCGGTAGCTCACGCCTGCAATCCCAATACTTTGGGAGGCTGAGGTGGGTAGATCACTTGAAGTCAAGAGTTCGAGACCAGCCTGGCCAACATGGTAAAACCCCCTTTCTACTAAAAATACAAAAGTTAGCAGGGCATGGTGGTAGGTGCCTGTAATGCCAGCTAATCAGGAGGCTGAGGCAAGAGACTTGCTTGAACCCAGGAGGCAGAGGTTGCAGTGAGCTGAGATGGCACCACTGCACTCCAGCCTGGGCAACAGAGCAAGCCTGCTAAATCTAAGAGTGAGCTACGTCTTGCTTTTTTATTTTTAAAAATAAAACCTAAGGGTTTCACATACCTGACAGATTATTTCCTCCTCTTGTAAAATATATAATACTTGATTGAGTATAAAATATGTATTTTCATGAAAAGGCATGAGGCACTTATATATGCTACAGCATGGTTGGACCTGGAGAGCATTCTGCTTAGTGAAAGGAGCCAGTGACAACAGGCCAGATGTCCTCTGTGAGTCCATTTACATGAAATGTCCAGAATAGACAAATCTATGGAGACAGAAGGACGACTGCTGGTTGTCAGAGGCTAGGGCAAGGGAGATTGGGAGTAATTGGTTAATGGGTGTGCGATTCTTTGGGGGCTGAATTAGAGGTGGTGGTTACACAACACTATAAATGTACTGTCACTGAATTGTATACCTTAAAAGTTAATTTTTTGGCTGGGTATGGTGGCTCACACCTGTAATCTCAGCACTTAGGGAGGCCAAGATGGGTGAATCACCTGAGGTTAGGAGTTTGAGGCCAGCCTGGCCAATATGGCAAAACTCTGTCTCTACCAAAAATACAAAAATTAGCTGGGTGTGGTGGTGCGCACCTGTATTCCTAGCTACTTGGGAGGCTGAGGAGGGAGAATTGCTTGAACCTGGGAGGCGGAGTTTGCAGTTAGCTGAGACGGCGCCATTGCATTCCAGCCTGGGCCACAGAGTAAGACTACGTCTCAAAAAAACAAAAATCAAAAAAGAAAACTAAAAAATAATTTTGAAGACTAAAGATTATTTATTTTCTCCTAAATTCCATAAAATACGTTACTTCTTTCAAATTTTTAAATTATAAAATACTATATTAAAACTCTATCCTTGTAATCATTTTCAAGGTATTAAGTATATTCACATTGTTGTATAACTGTCACCACCAACCATCTCCAGAGCTACTTCATCCTGCAAAACAGAGACTCTATGCCCATTCAGCACCAATTCCCCAACCCCCTGACCCAGCCCCTGGTGACCACTATTATAGTTTCTTCTCTATGAATTTGACTAAGAACCTCAGATAAGTGGAACCATACAGTCTCTGTCCAAAGTGACTGGTTTATTTCACTTAGTATAATGTTCTCAAGGTTCATCCATGGTGTAGCATGTGTCAGCATCTCCTTCCTTTTCAGGGGTGAATAATATTCCATGTTGTGTATGTGCTGTGTTTTGTTTACCTGTTCATCTGCTGACGGATGCTTGGGTTGCTTCCACCTTTTGGTTATTACAAAAAATGCTGCCATGAACACGGGGACACAAATGTCTTTTTCCGTCCCTGTTTTCCAGTTTTGGGGGCATAAACCAAGAAGTGGAATTGCTGGATCACATGGAAACTCTATTTTAAATTATATGGTTAATTATTATTAACCATACCGAGATGGTTAATTTTCTGTTATGTGAATTCAGTTCCATAAAATATACTGTGATGACCTATCTTGATATAGGCTTGTGGAATTTCATACCCTAAAGGTATTGAAAGCTTTAATTTCTCTAAAGTGACTTGGTGTGGAGGTGAAAAGACTCCACCCAAAGAAAAGACAAGATGGAAGCCTTTCCAGCCACCATTACCTGACTGTCAGAGGACGCCCGGCCTCTCCGCTTGGAATGACGGGAGGTCGCCATGGGAGCCCAGATGCTTTCCTCGTCGGAGGTATCCACGTCGGCCAAGTACTGCGGGGGCAGCTGCTCCTTCCTGATGACATTTGGCCCTTTGGAGCAAGAGTGGGTTTGAATTACTTGGAGTGAAAAGCTGAAAGCCGATGGACGTGTTTAGTCCAGTGAAGAAAAATGAGAGCTCAAAGAAAATAAAGACAAAATGATGTCCCTCTGATGTCACAGGGCTGAGGTTCCGAAGTCACAGTAAGAATGGAGCAGATTCCACGACCACACACAGAGATCTGCAGGAAAAAAGAGGCCTTCGCCTGACATTGTAGGTGGGAATTAAGAGTGGACATATTTTGCATGCTTGCAAAGCAAAGTAACATGATTCCCAATTTCAAATTGCAAATAATGCCTGATTCCATGAGGATGAGATCATAAATGTATTGTTTTAAGCCACATTTTACATTTGTGATAATTTGCTATGTAGTCAACAGATTCAGCCATCTCATTTAATCCCTATGACAATGGGGTGAGTTAGGTGTTATTAACCCCTTTTGCACAATGAGGAAATGGAGGTGCCCAGAGGTTAAGCAATTCGTTCTGTCAGCGTGGCATATCTCATTGAACCTCAGACTTTGCAGATTGGATGTTGCACTATTAAGAGAGCGACAGTGGCTGGGTGTGGTGGCTCACGCCTGTAATCCCAGCACTTTGGGAGGCCAAGGCGGGTGGATCACGAGGTCAAGAGATCGAGACCATCCTGGCCAACATGGTGAAACCCTGTCTCTACTAAAAATACAAAAATTAGCTGGGCATGGTGGCATGCACCTGTAATCCCAGCTACCCAGGAGGCTGAGGCAGGAGAATTACTTGAACCCGGGAGGCGGGGGTTGCAGTGAGCCGAGATTGTGCTACTGCACTCCAGCCTGGCAACAGAGCAAGACTCTGTCTAAAAAATAAAATAAAATAAAAAAGAAGACAGTGCTGCCAATGAGACTCAAGCACACCCCTTTCTTACCACATTCACGAAGACTTTCTTACCACATTCGCTGTAAGATACTCGGCATTTGAGAGTTGATATGTCAAAAGAATGTATGTGAGAACCAGTGAAGCAAACTGGCAGAGCCCGGCTCCAAACTCAGAACTGCCTGCCTCCAAGGCACCTCTCCCAGCACGATGCAGGCTCTCGTGGCATCTCCCCAGACTGCCTCCTGTCCATGCGCTCAGGGGACATGAGATCACAGAGGAAATAAAACTGCTGTCCAGGTCTGGATCCTATGGTCTGGCCAAACCATTTATTCATTGTTTTTGGGGAAAGTAGAGCCCTGCTTTCCTCCCCAAACCTCCAAGGTCCCTGTCAGCATGAGGGCCATGAGATTAGGGTCCCTTCAATACAATGAAGAGGGAAGCTGGAGAGTAGATGGTGTTCCCACATGCAGCCACTCGCTGTGGCTGCTGCTGTGATCCTACTTGCTCCTGTTCTGATGGGGCGTGTGAACTCCTAGACCCACAGTACACACTACTCAGGTACCGGAAAAGAGAGATTTGGGGATTTCATTTCAAAGCAAAACTGACAACAAAGGTAAGCCAAGCAGATTTAGGTTCTCAGTGCTTAAAGATCTCCTGATCAACAGCCTTGAGCCGACTCTGGGCTGATGTGGCAGTGCCCAGATGCCCGTCTTGCCCAGACCAGGATGGTGGGTCGGTTGAGCGGTGGTTCTAGTCATTTCAGGAGGCCTGTGTGTCCCCAGCCCAGGCCAGCAGTAGGGAGCTGTGAGCTGGCCACCTCCTGTGCTGGAAGTTCTGAGAGTTACAGGGAAGCACACATCCCAGGGAGGGCAGGGGCCCACAGCGTTTGTTGGGACCGCACGTCCCGGACAATCGTGCCAAAGGAAGGGGGCTTTCACATCAGCCATGTGTTGGCATAGGTCAGGGTGGTGGGGTTGTTTCTCAGTGACCCCCTCCCGCATGCCGAGCCCATCAGGAAGACCCTGGCCAAGGGCACCTACCTAGTGCAGCAGCAGTCCCCAGGGCCAGCCCGTGGGAGCCTCCAGGCAGGGAGAGCTCAGCGAGGACGCTGTGTCCAGAAGGCGAGATGCATGCCGGCTGCTCTTCTGGACGGGAATGGCACCCAGAGGCCCCAGCGTCAGCCTCCTCCAGGCCCTCAGCCTTCTGGGGGACTGCCTTCTCTGAGCAGGACTCATCTGTGAGGGACTAAGCACACGGGCCGTCAGCCTCCTCTGTGGGGTTTACTAGGAGGGGCTGCTGCCTGGAATGTGGGTCTTTCAATCCAAGCCCTGAGGCTTTCCAGTCACTTGACTGACCTAGCACTAGACCCCCATCCACGCTGGTCCCTGCTACTCAGTCCTCTTAGATTTCCAAGGCTGTGCCTAAAGCAGGTACTGCCTATGTATTCCCTACTGACTGCCTGTTGCATGCATCCATGCAGTGTTGGGGCTCCCAGCGACACCCTGGACCAGGCATGACACAAGGGGACCAAAACTCTTCTGACACAGCCTCAGGGGGCTCAGACATACCCAGAAACCGAAGCCTGAGGACGTGGGCAGGGAAGTTAATATTTTTGGGAGAAGGTTACATTGTTACTAACTAGGTACACCTTAATCTTTGAAGATCAGAAGGGCTGGTGGGGGCTTCCTGGCAGCTCCTTGGCTGTAATCCGGACAACCCTCCAGCAGAGGGGTCTCTGTATTATGTCACTGTCTCCAAGGAAATGGGGTCCTGAGGGCTTCAAGAAGCAATATGCCACAGCGCCCCTCCAGTGTGACTGTGAGTGGGGCTGGGGGCCACAGGAAACGCACACTTAGGCCAGCCTCCAGTTAGAGCAGGACCTGTGGCCTGGACATCACTTGGCTGCTGGCTTCCAGGATCCACCCTGCTTCCCCCTCCTCCTGGAAGGGTCTTCAGACCAGCCTGGGTGGACCCAGCCCCACCCCAGCTCTGGCTCAGCACTGCCTGAGCCCAGGGGATGCCGGGAGTGGAGTTCAGGAGTTCAGTCCTGGGCCTGGCTCAGTGCCCATAGTTACCTTTACTGCCTGCCTGTGAGTCCCATGCCTTCCACGGACAGCACCTATGACGATTAGTACTGAAAATTAATGAGTATGGCTCATGGACTCACTTCATCTTTGCTATTCTGCCTAGCAAATTCAAACTATAAGTGAGTCCACAGCTGAACCGTATTACTTATCAGAGGCCTTCAAACACTGCTCTTGATGACTTCTAAGAAATCTCACTAACCTTGCCTTACCTCCACCATTAACCTAGTAGGAGAACCCTTTGACTATGGCTCATTCTCCTGATCTAATATCACCATTATGCTTTTAGGACTTAGTCTGCTAATGACAGCCCTCTACTCCCTAAATATGCTAGTCATGACACAATGAGGGACACTTACGTATGACATTAACAGTATTAAACCTTTCTTTACGTGAGAAAATGCATTAATACTGATACATCTTGTGCCTCTCTTCCTGTTACCCTTAAACCGTAAAATTATTATGGGGCCTGCATGCTGTAGCTATAGTTTGATCAAAACATTAGATTGTGGATCTAACAATAGATGCCTGCACTTCTTACCTACCGAGAAAGCGTGCAAGAGCTGCAGACTCACGCCCCCATGCCTAACAACACGGCCTTCCCAACTTTCAAAGGGTTAGAGTCATGCGTTGTTTGGTGCAACTCCAAATAAAAGTAACAAATGAAAGTATTCTTCCCCTGCCATAACAGCCCTCATCCCCTAATCTTACCGATTGCTGTTACCTTAGCCAGCCCCTGCAAAAAAGGTTCATACGTAAATGATATAAAAACATCTGTGGCATGTGCCTTCATTCATTAGTCTCATCCCCACAACAATGTTCATATACACAGACCAGGAAGTCATTACCTCCAGCTGACATTGAATGACGGTCTAGAATCTCAGACTCTCACCAAGCTTCAAACTAGGCACTTCTCCACAATGTCTGTCCCAGTAGCACTGTTCATTACGTCACCTATGGTAGACTTCTCGATATATAAACTCAGACCCTAACATTAATCACTTTTTCAAATACTTATTTTCCTCATCACAGTATGAATTCTGGCTACCGCCAATCAATTCTTTCAGCTGTTTATCAGATGAGAAGGTGTAAGAATCATGTCTTCTTACTAACTGGCTGACGGTGCAGGCGAGCAGATGCTAAACCCACCACCCCCCAGGCAGTTCTGTACATCCGCATGGGCGGTACTGGCTTCATCTTAGCTTCCTCCTGTTCTCCAACACGTGAAAATGTCAACAAACATTTATTCTGGACACTATCCCCAACTCCCTTCCATTAATTAGCTTTCTCTCAGCAGCAGCAGGAAAGTCAGCTCAGTTCGGCCTTCACCCTTGACCTCCATGGCCGTGGAATGCCCAGCCTGGGTCTCAGCCCTGCTCCACTCCAGCACTATAGCTGGGACAAGAACTTTCCTGCTCATCCACTTCTACGCTTTAATAGACAATAACCTATCAATCCAAACCTTTACACTATGTCTGGGGGCTATGATCATCTTATTTACAGCAATCTGTGCTCTGACACAAAATGGTATCAAACCAGCTAGGCCTTATAACAGTCACAATTGGCATTAATCAACCACACCTCGCATCCCTTTGCATCTGAACCCACGTGTTTTCAAAGCTATATGATTTATATATTCAGGGTCCATCATCCATAACCTCAGTGATGAACAAGACATCCTAAAAATAGGAGGACTGTTCAAGACTTTGTCCCTCATGTCCTCCTCCCTTAATGTCGCCAGCCTTGCACTTACAGGTATGCCTTTCCTCACAGGCGTTCACTCTAAAGACCTCGGCGTGGAAACTGCAAACACATCATGCCCCAACTGTTACTCTGATTGCCACCTCCTTAACAGCTGTCTACAGTACCCGTATTATTTTCTTTGCTGTAATAGGACAAACTTGCTTCAGACTCCGGTTACTATTAACAAAAATAACCCTTTCCTAATTAACTCATTAAGCGCTAACAGCCGGCAGCATCTTCGCCGGATTCCTCATCACCAACAGCACCCTGCTTCATCCTCCCAAGCACCCAGCCCGCTCCACCTGAAGCCCACAGCCCCAGGTTAGCCACCTGAGGCTTCCTGCTGGCAATGGAGCTTCATCTCACGGCTAATAACCTTAAACTAAAATAGCCGTTACAGACATTCAACTTTTCCAACACCCTAGGGTTTTATTCAGCCACAGTTCACCGTACAACCCCCCACTCAAGCCTATTCACAAGCCAGAATCTGGCTTTACTTCTACTAGGCCTAATTTGGCTAGAGAAGTCTATACCAAAGGCCATTACACAAACCCAAATTTCAGCCTCCATTACCCATTACTGTGTTTACTCAGAAAGGCCTAATTAAACTCTCCTCTTTCTCTCTCTCTCTCTCTCTCTCTCTCTCTCTCTCTCTCTGGACAGAGTCTTGCTCTGTTGCCAGGCTGGAGTACGAGTACAGTGATGCAATCTTGGCTCACTGCAACCTCTGCCTCCTGGGTTCACGCGATTCTCCTGCCCTCAGCCTCCTGAGCAGCTGAGACTATAGGTGCCTGCCACCACACCCAGCTAATTATTTTTTATTTTTTATTTTTTTTTGAGACGGAGTTTCGCTCTTGTTACCCAGGCTGGAGTGCAATGGCGCGATCTCGGCTCACCGCAACCTCCGCCTCCTGGGCTCAGGCAATTCTCCTGCCTCAACCTCCTGAGTAGCTGGGATTACAGGCACGCGCCACCATGCCCAGCTAATGTTTTTTGTATTTTTAGCAGAGACGGGGTTTCACCATGTTGACCAGGATGGTCTCGATCTCCTGACCTTCTGATCTGCCCACCTTGGCCTCCCAAGTGCTGGGATTACAGGCGTGAGCCACCGTCCTGGCCTACTTTCTCTCTTTGTTGATCCCATCCCTTCTAACACTACTCCTAATTATCTAATCTATTACCTGAGTAATTTCAATCGTAACATACTAACAAATAATGATCAACCAGTAGCTATCATTAATCAGCACCTTGAAGAGGTTCCTGAGACAAAAGCCACACGGCTAATAACTAAGGCAGCCACATGTCGTGTTCGCCTGGATGGCCCCTGCCATTGCTCTGTGTCCAGGTGTGATTATTAATAGTAGCCTGTATCATAGGATGGTCCTAGTTTGGGCAATAAAATGTATGTTCCCCTCCCACTAAGTCGAGATGCAGGCACAATGTCAGGCCCTGTCTGACTCCACCTCAGATGCCGTTCTCTGTCCTGCCCTCCTGAGTCTTGAGGGTTCTGCCTTATTTCTGTGCCAAGCACCGATCCCATTCCCTGGTCCCCCAGCTCATCTGCCCAGCCTCAGGGCCCTGCATCGGCCCCTGCTTCTCCAAGCTGCCTGCTCAGTATTTCCAGACAAGCTAATCCTGGGGGAGTGTGAGGTCTCTGGATCCTGTTTCCCCACAACTGTCCCCCTCCCTGTCATGCCTTGGGAGCCAGGTGGGACTGTGTGGCCATCAGACACTGCTTCCAGAGTGCTGTCCCTCACCCAAAGCCTGAGCACCTGCCGCCCAGGTTCCTGGGAGGGGAAGGGGAAAGACACGAGGACCCGCTGACCTGCAGGCTGTCCATGGTCGCTGGGACTGAGGGCAGGTGCAGGGAGTGACCTTGAGGCTGACTGGAATCATCTGAGTCTCCCTCGAAGTCGAACTCGTGGATGGAGAGGAGGCGCTTTTTCTTAGCAGGCACAAGACAGGGCAAGACTCAAGTCAGGGCTAGCTTGAGGGAGAGGACCAAGCACCCTGCACCTCCCCAACCCTACGCTCAGCCTCCAGGGTGGCGAGGCAGGCTTCTCTTCCAGCCCATCCACCTCCTCCACTAGGAACAAATCCGACTGAGCCCGGAGGGGAAGCTGGTTGGTGCTCATGGTGCCCATCCCCGCCAGGACGCAGGATCTGCATCTCCAGAACCTTGGCTGAGCGGAAAGAACACCGAGCTGAACCCCTGCCCCTGCCCGGGGGCCCCACCTTGGGGGCAGGTAGGCTGTTCCAGGGCTGGGAGAGGGGAGGATCCCTGGGGCTTTGGGTAAGGGGGGTGCGATGGCTAAGTAGGGCAGAGGTGGGCAAGCTCCTGAGAGTTCCTCATTCTTTAGATGCAAGAGCCTACATTTAGTTCTAAACCCCTCCCTCATTATAATCATTTTGATCCTTTAAACTGATCTATCATGTAGGGAATATTCCAGGCACTGGAGAGCATTCTGTGAACTTCAAACATAGCATGGATGAAATGTTCTGAAGCAGAAGACGATGATGTTCCCCTCATGGCAACTGCGAAGACCTGGTTCACGTTGAATCTCACTGGCCTGTCTCTCTCCTAGCGTCTACGTCTGAACCCCTGCTCACCCACCCAGCCCCTTTCTCCAACTGCTGCCCCTTTCTGTATCCCACCCCAAAACCCAGGGGTTACAGTGCTTTTCTCTCCTATAAGTTAGACAATATGCGAACACAGGAACAAACACAAGGCTCATAGTTGGCCAAAAAAAAAAAAAAAAAAAAAAAAAGAAAAAAAACCCAGAAGGAGAAAACATCTCAGAGGAGAGTCTGAGGGTCCACTTTCCTGAAAGCTGCAAAGGCGGCTGCTCTCAGGACCCCGAGAGCCTTCCAGAACCCTGAGAGGAGAGCCTTCCGGGACCCCGAGAGCCTTCTGGGACCCTGAGAGCCTTCCGGGACACCGAGAGCCTTCCGGGACCCCGAGAGCCTTCCAGGACTCCGAGAGCCTTCCAGGACCCCTGCCTGCTCTACAGCAGCTCCCTGCACTCACTGTACCTGTGTTCCCCTGGACTCTTTCCACAAACTCAGCAGGCTGTGCCCATCCACAGTTGGCTTCTGAGGCTTCTGATGGTGGAAGCACTGCTCCTGCTTGGTGCCCAATGATCTCAGAGATTACTGAGGCCTGGGAAGGGCAGCAAATTCTTGATGCTCACACAGTAGGAGCTAGTGGAGTTGTGGAGAGAGCATCGAGGTTTTCAGGAAATCAGAACCTGAGGTTCCAGCTGTGTGGAGGAATCGAGGTGGCTGAGGAGGGGGTTACTGGAGATGACTTACTTTGCTGCCAAAGGGCTGGACCTGGGCTTCTGAGTCCTGTTCTCCATCCTCATCCGTCTGCTCGCTGTCTCCACTTCTCTCTTCAGAAATTGGCTCAGGCCCAGCTGCAATAGATACCTGCATGACTCCACCCAAGGACAGCCATTCTAGAAGCAAGCCATTTGTCAGTCCATACACACACCCATCCTCTAATCTATCCATCTACCTACCAACCCCTCCCTCCTTCCCTCCTTCACCCATTCACTCACCTATCCACCCAGAAATGTATCCCTCCATCTACCCATCTGCCAATCCATCCATCCACCCATCCATCCATCCATCCATCCATCCATCAATCCATCTATCCATCTATTCACCTACCCGCCCACCCATTTATCCACTCATCCACCCACTCAATAGGCAGCCCATTCATCCATGCATGCATGCTTGCAGGCATCCATCCATCCATCCACTCACCCACCCACTTACCTATCCTCCAGCCAGCTATTCATTTATCCACTCACTTAATCAGTGGCCCATCCACCCATGTATTCATCCATCCATCCCTCCATCCATCCCTCCATCCACCCACTCATCATCAATCCATCTATACATCCATCTACCCAATCAATCAGTGGCTCATCCACTCACCCACTCATCCATCCCTCCCTCCTTCATCCATGAACCCGCCCACCCATCAATCCATTTATCCATCCATCCACTCAGTCAATCAGTGGTCCATCTATCCATGTACCCACTCATTCACCTACCCATCTGCACATCCATTTACCTATCCATATATTCATCTATCCTTCCACCTACCACCCATCCCACTCTCTTTCATTCATCTACCCATCCACCCAGCTGCCCACCCATCCACCCACCAATCCATCCATCCACTTAGCCATCTATCCATCCATCCACTATCTATCACTCCATCCACCCACCACCCACTAGCCTATCTACCCGCCCACCCATCCATACAACCACTCACCTACCACCTTAGATGCCCATCCATCCACCTATCCATTCATCCATCCATTCATCATCCATCCATCCATCCATCCATCTCTCCCTCTCCCACAATCCACCCACTCACTGAGAAACATCCAGACAAGGCTCTCTGCTGGCCTTTCATAGGCCTATCCAAACACCACTTAGAGCTGGTCTGAATTACAGTATAAAAACCAGTACTCTGCATCAATGTTCCCAATCAGTTGCCAATGTTACCAATGATTGTTGCCAACGGATTTGACCATGTCTGCAGGATTGTACTTATTGGGCAGTGGAAAGACCCTGGAGCTGTGGAGTGTGAAGGAGACCTGGAACAAAGTCATGTTCTCCCAAACACATGGCTTTACCGGCAGGCTCATAGCATTTGCTGGTCAGCAGGTCTGGCCTCAGCACTGAGGGAGGGAGGTGAGGCTCAGCACTCATGCCCCCTCTCCTTTCTCTGCCCCACAGGGCTCCTTCCTCACACTGAGCTCCTGGGCCTGGCCTCCCAAGCACAGCTCACAGTCTTTTTCTCCTTTCTTCCACTCACCTTGGCCTGGCCTGTGTGTGACTGTGCCAAGTGACTCAGTAAAGGGACCCCAGGGTTTAGTGCTGGGAGGCCCCGTGGACCATCCACCTTTGTATTCCAGGGACTGCCGAGGGCACAGCTGGCACTGTGGAGCTTGGATCCTCTGGGCCCAGCCAGGCCTTGCTGCCCCTGGATACCCTTGCCCTGGGGCCTACCCCTGGCTCTCTGTGCCTCTGGGATCACAGGTGTGAACAAGCAGGCCTTGGTGCTTCGGAGCGAGCACTGTCAGCTGCAAAGGGCTACAGGACTGTGGGTGCAGGGCCCGGGGTGGCCTCAGAGCCACCTTCACTCTCTGCTCCGTGACGCAGGAGCTGGCCCTGCACGTCACACCTCTGCCTGGCCTGCTGCTCTCTGAGGGCTCAGCCCCCAGCGAGTGGGAGTGGGAAAAGGAAGAACGAATGTGTTCCTTTCTGGGGCTTCCAGTCCGAAGCCCTTGACTCTGACAGCTGGTCCAGCTTCATCAGGGCCCCTGAGACACGGTCACCAGCCAGTGGCATCCCTCCCACTCCTGGAGGAAGAAAGGCAAAGAAGACTCTAGACAGACAGGCCTTCCTGGGCTCCCTCAGCCTGTCAGCAGTAGACCCGGCCTTGCTGTATGATCCTCTTTCACACGCTGTCCATCCTTTCTTGAACTTAAGCATAAAAGTGGACAGTTTCCCTGCACCTGTGGGTCTTCATTCTGAAGGCTCCCATGTATACATGGTGAACACATTGCTATGTCTTTTGTCCAATGAATCTGCCTTTTATGAATTGATTTTTCTGCAAACTTTGAGAAGGTGAAAGCTTTTGGCTCCGAATATGCCCAGGTGATGGGGCCAGAGAGCAGACCTGGTTTTAGTTTTGTTCTCTCTGGACAGTGAATGCTGTGAAGAGACGCATCCCAAACCACCAGGCAGAGACCCTGAGGTGTGACCTCCCCCTGCACCCAGGGATGCAGAAATGGGCTTTCTGGGGCCTGGGGCCCCGCCTATCAGGGTGATGTCCCGGCCTCCACGATGAACATGAAGAGGAAGCATCCCAGGCTCGGAGATCCTTTTAGTGTTGGCCCCTGTCATCACTCTGCACTTGAACCAAGGGTTTGGGTAACACTATCCTATCTAATTAATCAAGTCATGCTAAAAAAAAAAAAAAAAAATTCCGCATTCCTGACACAGAACAGAGATTTTCTGACAACTCTTGATAGGGAGGAGAACACAAAAATAGAGCCACACGAGCATAAAGAACTTAGTGTTGATGTCAGGTGAGCTCTCACTGCCAGGCAAAGCTACCACCGAGGGAAAGGCACGGGGAGGGAAGGTTTGGGTGTTGGGGGGCTGTATGCTCAGTGGCCAGCGCAGAGTTTTCCTTCCTTTCCACTAAGCTGCTTCCTGCAGAGCCGGCCGGGTCTCCTGTGGAAGCCTCGGTGGAACACCCAGCACTCTGCAGGTTCACTCAGTGAAGACCCCCAGAGGCCCACCTACCAGCTGGACAAGGTCTGCATTAGGCCCTGGCTGGACCAGGTTTCAAAACCTTAACCTTAACCTTTTATGCCCTACTTTTTTTTTAAAAAGGCCCAGCTTTCCCAGTTTTTGTGTTCCTTGCTTGCGCCCTGTTTTGATGTTGTAGTTCTAGGTGCTCAGCATCGGGGAACGCAGCCCCTGTGGGACTCGGGGAGCTGCTGGGAATCCAAGTTCAAGGGACAGCTGCCTTCTGTTGCCCCACAGCGCCACCTCCTGGCCCTTGGTGGTGATGATTTTGAAGTCCGCAGGCTGGGGCGGATGGCGTGAACTCCAGCAGCTCTGGGCTGAGCATCGGAAACCCCGCACCTTCAAAATGACACAGCTTCCTGAGCCCACCCCAGTCCCTAAAAGCTGCCTCTGGGGTTGAGATTCTCAGGTGCTTGAGAGCATGGCTTTTCCCGCTGTTACGCGTCATTTCCCTCCCTAAGCCTGGTGGGGGTGACTGGAGGCTGGACCAAGCCCCTTTGGCTGCTGGAAGACCCTTCAGTGGGCCCTGGGCTGGCCATGTGCATGTGGGGAGGTGGGATTTGCTGCTGGGCTTCATGACCGCCGTGTAGAACAGGGTGATGGCCTCTCCCCATGTCATCGGCCATTCCTAGTCACATCTGTTGTTACAGCATGTAATCAGTGGAGACTCCTTTTACTCTTGAAAATGCCCTGGTTTGGGTGATTTATCAGACTCGTCCCCACCCCCACCCCCACTCCGGCCAACCAAGACGTGCAGCTGCCCTGTGCTGTGCGGTGTGCTCTCCAGGGGTGCCACTCGGTGGCCTCTGTCCTAAATTAAAAGCTGTGCTAAGATGCCGTGAAATGCTTGCTGCTGGGCCAGTGAGAGCTTGAATGCTCCAAGGGTGTCTATGACAACTTCTGCTTCTCCAATCAAACTTGGCTTTAAGGGACAGGCACAAATAAGGTGTCTCTCCAGAAAGAAGGCCTGGGGGAGACACCTGGGCTGGGGCATGGTGAGGATACCCCAGTCCAGAAACACAGCCTCTGCCCTGGATGTGCCCAGCTGCTGGAGCCAGGCAGTTGCCTCCTGGCCCTGGAGAAACTCACCTTGGTCTTGCAGATGGAGTCATCCAGGACACTGTGACCCCAGACACCCAGCTTGATGGGGAATGTCCCACTCAAATGCTTGTCCAGGCTTAGTGGCAGAAGCCTGGGACTCAGGTAACAGGGACAATGACCTTTCTCAAAAACACGGCTGAGTTAGCTCCCTTCAAACTCAAACGCAGAAGACTCAGGCATCCTCCCTCCCCCGCCCCCCGAAAAGATCTCTTTCAAGTGCCTTACAGGGGGATATGATAGGCAAACACATTGTTTAGTTTAAGCCTACTGCCTGGATTGCAAATTCATCATGAGATAAATACTTGGAGTCAGAAGACAAAAACAATTGAATTACAACAGATTTCTCTAAATCTTGATAATCACCAGATTCATGTGAAATGTTTGTTGAAAAGACAGAGTCTTGGCCCCAAACCAGATGTCCCAGGGAAGAAAGGCTTGGAAAACATGTAGCATTAACAAGCACTCTGGCGATTCAATCAGCAGCTGCTTTCAGAAACTTGGCTTTGAGTTTTCAACTTACTTTGAAGATTTGAAAACAATACAATTTCAAATATTGGCAACTTCAACAGCACCCAGGACCTCTGAGGTGCTCTGACAAGTCCAGTGGGATGCAGAGGTTTGCACCTCACATAAAAAGATGCCAACTTCACAGGGCATAGTGGCTCATGCCTATAGTCCCAGCACTTGGGGAGGCCGAGGTTGATAGATTGCTGAAGCCCAGGAGTTCAAGGCCAGCCTGGGCAACATGGTGAGATGCCTGTCTCTACAAAAATTAAATTAAAAAAAAAAGCAGCCAACTTCACATAAGATACCAGAAGGAGGAATTGACAGACAAGCGCATGCACATGCGTGCGTGCACACACGCACACACACACGCACACTCCAAAGGAACATGCTTTAATATTCCTAACATGCCTGGGAACAAAAGCCCTTCCCACTGTCCACTCCTTACCTCCACTCTGCAGCCGCCCACGGAGGGACCGGATCACTTTGGCACTTCCGAACCTCTTGAAGCGGGCTTTCACATGCTCATAGTACCACTCCAGTGAGCCGATCTTCACAACTCTGCAGAGACAAGCACAGGCCCGTGGCACTGCCTGTGTGCTGCACACAGGCCTGCATAAATCACGCACACACAAGTGTGCGCATGTGTGCGTCCAGCCTTCGTCAGCTAGCCCCACTGAAGGCACATGCCAGATCCAGAAACTATCAAGGTCATTTGACCTCAAGGCTTGGGCTTACCTGGCCAGATGGCAGGGGTCACAGAGCCAGGCCTGCTCCTCTGGGTCTATGCAGCCACAGCTTTTGCAGGTGAAGAGGCCACATTCCAGACACTGCCTTTTGCTGTTCACAAGCAGCCGATAGGGCTGCAGGCAGTGGGCACAGTGGGTCTCGTTCAGATGGGCAGTGTCGGAAAGCAGCTCCCTCTTGGAGCTTTCCTTCTTAATCTTGCCCTTCAGCCCCCTTGGAAAGATATCAGAAACAAGAAATATATCAGACATCTTGTTTTTGCAACAGGCTTTAAATGTGTGCATGTACACACACACACACATGCATACAAACACATGCACACATACACACAAACAGCAACTGTTTCCTATGCAGAAAACAGTGACCCAAAGTTGGGCAAAAGTACACAGGCATCTTTGTGTTGAGGGCTGAGCTCAAACGGGTAATTTTCATAGGCTGGAATGGATTGGAAACACGAGATTTCATAGAAATGACATTGCATTTAAGCCTATCTGTGGCTGTTTACAATTGTACCAATTTTGGTCAACAGGTTACTGTACCCTCCCCACGGTGGTCACGGAGTCCTGAGGGCAAAGCCAGATGGCAGTTCCTGATCAAGCAGTTTTGGGTCTCTTCCAGCAGGGGGGCAAGAGTTGAGCTAATGCCCAGGTTTGCTCCCCTAGAGCGCAGATGAAATGGCTCAGTGAGTTTCCAGAGCAGCATTCATCCAGCATCGGGAAGGCCCAGTAAAACCACGGTTCTCCTAGACCATCCGGGTTTAAATAACACACAGCTTCCTGGTGAACCTGCCAAGTTGAACTTATTGGAAAATGCACCCTTGGATGATAATGAAAACGTTTCTTTTGTTCTAGATTTCAGAGAATGTCTGCCAAATGTAATATTTTCAGTTTCAGATGACATCAAATTAATCCATTCTTAGTGACAAAAACAAGAAGGACACTAGGTGCCATTGTCTCGTGAGAACTCTGAAGTGCACCGATTTTGATGAGGACACCCAGAGTGTGACAGAGGTGAAGAGGGTGGAGGGATCCACGAGGTGATGGGAGGCCGCCTCTGGTTTAAGTGGAATGGGCTGAACTTCACTGATTTCCCTCTCTCAACCAGTCACTAAAATACTCACTGAGATGGATGCAAAATCAGGCTCTTGTCACAGCTTCAAAAATCAAGAGAAAAAGGGTCAAGCAGTTGTAGGAATCTAGGAGGATACTGCCATCCACAGAACACAGTCTAGATAAAGCTGCATTGACAAGGTAGAGCCTTTGCCCCAAACAGAGGAGCACAAGACCCCTGGAGCCAGATGGGAAGGGCCTCACTCCCTCCATTTTCACCTTTGGTAGCTCTGCACCAACCAGAAAACCTGGAGGCTGCCCCTTCGCTGGACAGGGCTTGTCCAGCCTCCATCCCAGGGAGCACCTCTTCTTCTGTATCCGGCAGAACGATACCCCTGAGGCCCAGCACAGCCGGAAGAGAGCAAGGACGTGTGCATTGCCCTGCATCTCAGGCTGCAGGAGTTTCTCTTAAATAACAGCCCAGAGGAGTCCTGGGCAGCAGCTGGAGCTTGATCTATTTCAGGGGCTGACACTGCGGGAAAGGATAATAATACTCTGCTTTAGATTCTGTAAAACATAACCTCCCTTCTTCATAGCCAGAGACTAGGAAGGGAAGGCAGAGAAGACCCCATTTGGGGAGAACAAATGACACCTGCCAGCCACTCCAGGACACATCAGCCAGACCCGCAACTTCAGATCCTGAAGGGTGAACGGGGCCGGAGCAACCCACGCCCTCTGCTTACTGGGTTGACTAGAAGTCACTCCTCAACAGGCAAAAGCCCAGCATTCGGCTCCAAGTTAAAGTTAGCTTCACATATAAAAGACCCCCCTGAATGTGACTTATCATCAGAAACAGACTTGAAACAAGTTGGCTTGGTGTGCTGAATGGGGCATAAGAAAGTTCATATAGCCTCGACGAGAGGGATGGAGGAGATGCAGGAGGAAACCAGGCTGAGATGAGAGACCCACTGGCTCTGCTGGTGGGGGTGGAGAAGAGCTGGTGGAGACAGAGACGGCAAGGAGTCACAGCCACAGTGGAGGGGCCGTGGGCACGATCTCTACCGGGGAATATTAGGCCCAACGATTTCAAATAGTGATCTTCCAGGTGGTCCATGGACCTCTCCTCTGGAGGTTCCTAAGATCCTTTAGGGGGCGGGTCACAGGCTAAAGCTATTTTTGTAATGATACTGAGACATCTTTGCCCTTTCTTTGCTCTTGGACGCCTGCACCAAAGGTGTAGAAACACTGGTGGGGCTGGGCAAAGTGGCTCATGCCTGTAATCCCAGCACTTTGGGAGGCCAAGGCAGGCGGACTGCCTGAGCGCAGGAGTTCACAATCATCCTGGGCAACACAGTGAAACCCCTATCTACTAAAATACACAAAGTAGCCGGGGGTGGCGGCATGCGCCTGTAATCCCAGCTACTCGGGAGGCTGAGGCAGGAGAATTGCTTGAACCTGGGAGGTGGAGGTTGCAGTGAGCCGAGATTGTACCACTGCCCTCCAGCCTGGGTGACAGAGCAAGACTCCGTCTCAAAAAAAAAAAAAAAGGTGAGTAAACCACTGAGGCTTTAGCCGGAGTCAGAGCAGCGGTCCCAACTGTGCTGCAGTCATTGTCTCCTTCATTGAAAAAGAGACGAGCCAGTTGTGGCGTGGCTCATACCTGTAATCCCAGCACTTTGGGAGGCCAAGGCAGGCAGATCACCTGAGGTCAGGAGTTCAAGACCAGCCTGGCCAACATGGTGAAACCCTGTCTCTACTAAAAATACAAAAATTAACCTGGCATAGTGGTGCATACCTGTAATCTCAGCTACTCAGGAGGCTGAGACAGGAGAGTCGCTTGAACCCAGGAGGCAGAGGTTGCAGTGAACCAAGATTGTGCCACTGCACTCCAGCCTGGGTGACAGAGCAAGACTCCATCCCGAAAAAAACAAAAACAGAAAAAGAAATGAGAAGAAAAAACAGTTTCATTTAAGAACCACCTTGATGGAACATTGAAAGCTGCGTCTTTCTGAACCATGGCCCCAGTCCGTGTATGATGAGCATGCAGCAGTACAGAAAGCTCTTCTGTCACATGTTGAAAAGTGACAGATATTTCTATCAAAGGGACTGGGCAATTGTTCAGATTGCAACCTGAGCTAGAAACTTCTCATGAAATGCCATTTCCACTTGAGAGAACAACTGAGAGATGAACTATTTCGACTTGGTATTTGACAGATATTTTCTCAAAAATGAACAAAGTGAGACTCTCACTTCAAGGAAAAGAAGTGACAGTATTTATTGCCAGTTATAAAACGAAAGTTTTCAAGCACAAAGTAGGGTTTTGGAAATCACATATTCCCTGCTGTGAGCTTGACAGTTTCCAACACTGGGAGGTTTTTGATGAGATGCTGGTGAGAGCAACAGAAGCGATTCTCTTTTGGTATGCACATGAAATGTGTCAACATTTGAGAAGTCTGCATAACTCAGTGAGCCAGTGTTTTCCAAATGATTAATGCATAGTGTTACAAAAATCATACAGGGGTAGAAAATCCATTTCAAGTGCAAGGGAGACCAATGGATTTCAACAAACAGAAAAGGAAAAGTTTGTTAATATGGCTTCACATCGAAATTAACCTTTAAGAAACTACCAACTGGCTGGGCACGGTGGCTTACACCTGTAATCCCAGCACTTTGGGAGGCTGAGGCAGGCAGATCACCTAAAGTCAGGAGTTCAAGACTAGCCTGGCCAAATGGTGAAACCATCTCTACTAAAAATACAAAAATCAGCCAGGCATGGTGGAGCACGCCTGTAGTCCCACCTACTCAGGAGGCTGAGGCAGGAGAATCGCTTGAACCTGGGAAGCAGAGGTTGCAGTGAGCCAAGATCGGGCCACTGCACTCCAGCCTGGCAACAGAATGAGACTTTGTCTAAAAAAGAAAGAAAGAAAGAAACAAAGAAAGAAAGAAACAAACAAACAAACGACCTACTGCCAGGCTTTCATGTTGTTACAAAACGTAACATTTATTATCTGCAAACGCTATTCAAATACTCCTTTTTTCAATTACGTGTCTGTGTGAGCCTAGATTTTCTCCGGCTACTACAGCCCAGACAACGTGTCGTTACAACCCACGGAGTATAGGAGCAAGCGGAGAACTCAGCCATCTTCTGTTGTTTCAGACATCAAAGGGATTTGCAAAAATAGAACAATACCACTTGGCTTTCTCATGATCTTGTTTTGGGAAAATCTCACTTTTTATAAAAATTGTATTTATGTTAACATGAAGAGGGTTTACTGTTATTTTAAAATGAGTGAATACATAAACATTTTTAACCTCCCAGTTTTAATTTCTGATATGGTAAATATTAATAGATATGACCTGTATAAGTAAAACTCTTTGGGGCTCTCAGTAATTTGGGAAATGTAAAGGGGTCCTGAGGCCCAAAGGTTCGAGAAACGCTGATTCCGAAGTCAAGTTTGCTCTCCCCAGAATGCGAAGAAAAGGGAGGAAGTGATGGGAGAGAGTGGGGAGATGGTGGGAAAGGCAGAGAAGGTGAGCTCCCCGGTGACGCGGAGACCTGGAGAGGAGCTGCATGGAGTGGAAGGGAGGTTCTGTCCTCGTCCTGGGGGCCGCATGGAGTGGAAGGGAGGTTCTGTCCTCCTCCTGGGGGCCGGGGAACCCACACTCCTGTCCTCTGCATTCCCACCTCCGGGTGGCCCTGGGACACCCTGCCAAGAGCTGTGACTGGTGGGGCAGAACACAGCCGAGGGGAGACTCCTGCCCTCAAGGGAGGCCAGGCGGCCTCTGAGGAAAGGGCGTATACTGGGGAAGGAAAACACTTCCAGGATGGGAAGAGAAAGGGAAGTCCGCTTCTAAGATGGGGTCTGGGTGGAGAGGTGAGCCTCGCAGGGTGAAGGGGTCAGACCTGTGCCCTGCTCTGCCCCTCTTGAGGTGGAATCCAGACAGGCGTGTGTGGCGACATGCAGGAGTACTGGGGGGAGCCCGGGCTGGCGGGGCTGGTGGCCACCATTGTGGGCACAGCAGGTGGACGCTCCTATTGTGGCCTTCCTCGAGGTCCAGCACACAGGCCTGGGAGGAGCCTGTGTGAGGGGCTTGCATTGGGTGCAAGTGGGGAGTCCACATCCTTACGGTCCTCAGACCACACTCCCGCAGGATGGCACGAGG